AAGGTGACAGCTAGTGACTCCCGGAAGCAGTGGCATGTCACCCCCCGGCTCCTACGGTAGGGGCAGCTAAGGGGCTCCGCACACTGCTCCTGCCCCAAGCACAGCCCCCGCAGCTCCCATTGGCCGGGAACCACAACCAATGGGAGCTGCAGGGGCGGCGCCTGCAGACAGGGCAGCGCACAGAGGCGTCTGGCTGTGCCTCTGCGTAGGAGTCAAAGGGGGAACATGCCGCTGCTTCTGGGAGCTGCTTGAGGTAAGTGCTGCCCGGAGACTGCACCCCTGACCCCCCTCCTGCATCCCAACCCCCTGCTCCAACCCTGATCCCTCTCCAACCCTCTAAACCCAGCCCGGAGCACCCTCCTGAACCCCCAACCCCACCCCAGAGCCATCACCTCCAGCTAGAGGCCCCTTCCCCCTCTGCCCCAGCCCAGAGCCTACTCCTGCATCCCGAACTACTCATTTCTGGCCCCACCCCAGATCCCACACCCCCAGCTGGAGCCCTCACTCCCTCCTGTTCTTCAATCCCCAATTTCATGAGCATTCATGGCCCGCCATACAATTTCCATAGCCAAATGTGGTCCTTGGGCCAAAAAGTTTGCCCACCCCTGATTTAAGGGCACCTCCTGAAATGTGCTGAGTAGCTCTTGAGAGGGTCCTTCACGTCCTTAGCTTGCACTGGCTTCAGTAGGATGACTAACCATGGACCCAGTCCCGCTTTCAGTAAAGCCAGTGGAAGGAATCCTGCTGACTTCAGTGGGCATTGGAGCCTGTCTGTGGGAGTACTGATGCGGGCCCATAGCTATGAAGAGACAGTAGATGGCGCTGCCTCACCAGGGTTTTAGCACTGAACAGAAGAAATAGCTCTTTCTATCCCTGTCACTAGGGTCAGAGGGACTGCTCCTGTAGCATCTTCTGGGCCTGACAGAATGCAGGAAATTGCACCTGGTATATCACAGTATTTCTAGGGAACTTGGAGACTTTCCTTTGACAGAAAATAAATCCATACCCGTCCCTATCCCCACAGCCTTTTGCTTGGCACCTGCCCAGGAGTAATGATCCGCACATTGGAATCTACAGATACCTGCAGAGAAGCATACTGCAGGGCTAATAATGCAGTTTTAATTTATTATTAATTATTATTATTGTTTTATTATTTATTTTATTGTTGTAAAACCCCAAACATACAAGATGTCTGTGTGTGGGATGGTCCCCATTGCTCTTCCCTGGTGAAAAACCCCACATAGTATTTTAAAAAGATAGTCCTTCAAAAAGGATATTAAGGGACATTAAGAATACATTCCTCCAGGGCTTTGGAGCGGAGCCCGGAGCTGGAGCCCGGAGCAGTTCCGGAGCAGTGGAGCTGCAGGTTTTTGCCTGGTGCTGGAGCGGAGCCGGAGCACAGCTCCAAAGCCCTGCATTCATCGTACCATGTTATTTCTATACTAGTAGTTAAACTGGATCATGACTAATAACATGTGCAACCTCTTTTCAACACTGTGTAATAACGTGCATACCAACTAATTATTTAAACCAGTGGTTCTCAACTGGGGTGACACATACCCCTGGGGGTACACAGAGGTCTTCCAGGGGTACATCAACTCATCTAGATACTTGCCTAGTTTTACAACAGGCAACATAAAAAACACTAGCAATGTCAGTACAAACTAAAATTTCATGCAGACAATGACTTGTTTATACTGGTCTATATACTATACGCTGAAATGTAAGTACAATATTTATATTTCAATTGATTTTATAATGATAAAAATCAGAAAGTAAGCAATTTTTCTGTAATAGTGGTTGTGACACTTTTGTATGTTTGTCTGATTTTGTAAGCAAGTAGTTTTTAAGTGAGGTGAAACTTGGGGGTATGCAAGACAAATCAGACTCCTGAAAGGGGTACAGTGGTCTGGAAGGGTTGAGAGCCACTGATTTAAACAAAGGCCAAAACAAAACTGATCTCCGTTTTACTGGTGTCAGTCCTGAGTCCATTGAAATCAATAGTTATTCCAGATCAGTGGTTCTCAACTTATTACACATTATGGGCCAATGTGTTACCTGGGCTGTAGGGGCCTGGTGGCGTGGACCCCTGCTGTGTGGGGCCGGCCAACTGCCTGCCCTAACCACCCCTCCATGTTTGTAATTGGTTTCTAAAATATAAAACCTAAATGTGGAACCATCTAGATCTTTAAGAGCAATCTCCATTACCCATTACAAAATTAAATGCTCAGTAACACTGCTGAAGCCGGCTGCCCTCAGCCTGCCTCTCCCCCCCACATGCACACACAGGCAAGGATCGAGAGGTTATTGATTGTCTTGTTTCACCCACATAGTAGTTGTTGGGGGCATTTGATGCACTGATGAGGTACACAACATGTTGTAAGAGAGGCATATGTAGGACGCATAGATCTTGAAAGGTGTGTTATGGGGGGTATTTCTGAGCAGTAGAGATATGTCTGCAAGTTTTGCATCTGTCTCAGGTGCCGGTGCTACTTTGAGTTGGTGTGTCCTGGTCTCACACAGACTCTGGTTTCATGACTCATTACAACAATCTGTAACCTACCAGCCCTCCTTTGTCCTATAACTTCAGGCTGTTAATTGCCCACGTCATTTTAAGGCAACTCCCATCTTTTCATGGGCTGTATATTTTATACATGCTTGCTGTATTTTTCACTCCATGCATCTGATGAAGTGGGTTATATCCCACGAAAGCTTATGCCCAAATAAATTTGTTAGTCTCTAAGGTGCCACAAGGATGACTCGTTTTTTACTTCATTTTAAGTAGTTTCTTGCATTGTGTGTTAACCCCTTATGCTTAACAGCCTGTCCCACCTTATATTTAGTTGTGATACACTGGCTTCCCTTTCCAGACCTGAAAAAAGGTCTGTGAAGCTTTCCACTAACAGAAACTGGTTCAGTAAAAGATATTACCTCACCTACCTTGTCTTGCTCATATCCTGGGACCAGCATGGCTACAACAACATTGCAAACATACATCAAATATTGATTATTTCAACCAGATGTTGGATCAATAGAAAAAGAACTACTGGGATGTTAATCGCCCTTATTCTGTTTGGTTTTAATTGTTAATTATCAGGATAAAAAATTAAAGCATAATTTCTCTTTTGGATCTGATATTATCCTGAGAGCACCATGCAGGATTATAACCTCAACTATGACCTGATATAATAGAGGAAGCAAGAACTTTTTTTTGACCGTTTGTAGTAGACTACGTTAATTCTGGAACAACCAAGAGCTTTATATGTAGAAAATGAAATCTTGAGGCCTTTCCTAGCTAATCTCAGGATACAATCCTGGTCCGATGGCCCAAAGAAAACAAGGTCTTGTTAGAAGTGATTCTTCTAGCATTTGGAGCAGGATCTGATACCTTCCCACTTCCACAGAAAGACGAAGCAGAGTGAATGGAAGAAACAGGGAACAAAAAAAGCTCTAGCTACCGAATGAAAGAATGGTAGCATTGTGGCTCCTTTGAGATCCAGTTCTCATATTTCTAGTGGCATCTTATTTCTTGATCTCAGCTGCAAAATCAACAACTTTTAGCTTCAAATATTTCAGCTGATTTTTCTGACGTCTCAGTTCAACATCTTAAACTGACCCAATTTCTGATTAAACAGTGGGACAGACTTTGCAAGGCGGCTAATTTACTGTACATTTCCTTTCCTTTCTGGATCCTGCTCCTGTGTGGTGCTGGGTACCTTCTACTCTCGTTAGTCACTTTCGCTCTTATTCAAAGCTGCTCAGCACCTTACAGTTTCTAAAACCACTACACTTCCTTTTTAAATACTAGCCATGGCCTTTATGACCTCCTGAGGGGCAAAACTGCAAGAAGCTAATAAAGTCACAGGGTCCTATACGAAAGAATAAACTTGCTATGTGTAATCAGGTTGTGTAATATGTTGTTTGTGTATTATGCTAGCATTTTTAGAGTTATTACCTGGCTGTACTTAGCACTTCTGGGGCTGAGTCTCTGTTCTCCTGCTCATGTCTCCCTGCCTTCTTGGCTTGATCTGCCCCCTAATTTCTAATACTGTCAGCTGGGCTGCATTATGACCCATCCAGCCATGAAGGCAACTCTTGAAATCTGGGAGCATCATAATGTGTGTGATGCACCTAATGTTCCGCTGAGGGGTTATTGTGCTCTTGGGAGCATCATGTCATTTACCATCACAAATAACTGTTTATGCCTGGAGAAGTAAAGCATGTGGCCTGTCATGTGATTGAACAGAAGTATTGATTTATTTCCAGCCGGCTGTCATGGCCCTTATGACATCACAAGGGGCAGGGCAGCTGTGTGTGAGCATGCTTATTTGATCCTTGTATTTTTTTTTTTTTTAAAAAGGCCACACCCTCAACAAAAGGGATGGGCTGCAGAAAACAAGGATCAACCAAACAATGGGGGACAAATAACAAACACAAACAAAACACCCCCCACACCCAACCAGGAACAGGAGTGAGATCACTGGGTCAAAATAAAGGATCCAGCGGGGACACCAGTCAGAGAATCCCAGATAGTGTCCACCACTACGGCTTCAAGAGAGACTCGAGAGGGGCCGTGGATTCCACTCAGAACGAACTCTGTCCCAGTGTGTGAATGGCAAAGTGCCGAGAAATATACTCCACAGTCACTGACAACACCCCCATCCAGCCTCCCCGTGTTAGCGAGAATGATGTCAGAAAAGCATTTCTCATTATTTCTAGTAAACTGGCTTGAGGCAGAAATGGGTTGTGAACTCTTCAGCTCAGTGCTGTAATTTGTCATTTATCTCTGCCTCAGTTTCCCTATCTATAAAATAGTGATACTGATGCTCACCAGCCTCAGTGGGGGCCTTATGAGGCTGAATTAATTGAAGCTTATAAAGCGCTTTGAGATCTTTAGAAGGAAAGTGCTACTGAAGGGCCAAGCATTATTATCATTTTATTATTCAGATGTAGTAAGCTGCTGGACCCTTGTCTTGAGTGATGAATAATTGTGGGGAGGAGGGGAGCAGAGAAGACATCATTGCCAGGCATTTATATCAAGGATCTGATTTGCATTGGCAGGTCTGGCTGGTGAGATTTTTAAGGTACCCGTTCCTATGGCAGGGCTGGCCAAAGTGCAGTATAGGGCTCAGTGCCACATAAGGCCATCCTTTTTTTTTTATATATATGTGGAGGTGACCATAGACAGTAAACCCCGACATGCAATGCTCCCTCTTGATTTGAATGGAAGGCAGTGAATTCTGGGATCTGTAGCCTGGGCAGGCTGCACAGTCTGTATTACATATGAAGATAGCCGCAGTCTCCTTCATGTTATGAAATTCTGCGCAGGCACGGTAGGACAAAATCTAGGAGTCTTTGTTCTAATGGATGTTTGTCTTTATTTGCTGAAGGTTGGGTGGTACAATGCTGTTCTTCAGCCGTCCTTTCACCTCCAATACTCCGAGGACACCCTGGCATTCATTGTCCTCAGCACCCCCTCAATGTTTGACAGAGCCTTTAAACCCTTTGTAGACAAACAGCTGCTGAAAAAAATCAATGACCCAGTGGATCAATGCGTTTCTTATCATCTGTCGCTCGTGAAGGAGGTAAGAACCTTTGCAAACAGTGTCCTCTTGCTAATGAGAGTGTGACCTAGTGGCTAGAGTGGGAGACTGGGAGTCAGAACCCTTGGTTTATTTCTGTTTCCTGGCTGTGTTCGTGACCATGGGAAGTCACTTAGCCCCTCTGTGCCTCAGTTTCTCAATCTGTAAAATGGCAGTAATGATATTGGCCTATTTTATGGGCGGAGAGTTTGTGACTGAGGTTTTTTGTAAGTGCTTTGGGATCGTCGGATGAAAGATGCCATGTAAGTGCACAGTATTATCCATGCTGCCAGGCTCACGGTTAGAGTACCCAACAGGGTGTCGATTTCCTTTTCTCTCACACGCAACCTCTTTTATCATTATACCCTTGGTATGTACATGGTGCTCTATGGGCATGGATTAAAAACACAAAGCTGTTGTTGGATGGGTTCCGGGGTTGGGGTGATGGTGTTCGCCAGGTCATACAGAAGGTCAACGTGGGTCTGCCCCACCATAAGGGGGATGGACCTGAAGGAGTGATGAGTGAAAGCCTCAAAAAGCTCAAGGCAGGAGGCAGACATCAGAGAGAGGAGGATATGGCTGACAACTGACGCAAGCCTCGATCTATGCTTTCATGGAGGCTGCACCTCAGTGCTGGAGCTGAGTCGTGGGGCTGGATGCCCTTGTCCTTGTGGTACCAGAATCCAACAGGGCATTTGGGGCCTGATCCAAAGCCCATTGGAAGTCTTTCCACTGACCAGAGGCGGATTAAGGTTTCCTGGGGCCCTGGGCCAGAGCAAGTGGGGTCCCGTCCCGACCCCTTCCTCCTGCAGCCCCACCCACAGCCCCACCCATTTCTGCTCCTTCCCCAGGGCCTGCCCCTGTTCCACCCAGGGTCCCCCCATTCCACCCTCCCCCCTGCAGCCCGCAACCACTTTTGCTCCTTTCTGCCCCCTCCCCCGCAGTGCGGCCCCAAGACCGGAGAAGCTCTGTCCCCGCGCCACGGCCCCGGGGTCACAGTGGCTCCAGTCCTAGGGCCGCGGTGGGGGTCCAGGTCCTGGAGCTTCCCCTACAACCCCCCCGTGCTTGTGTGGGGGGCCTAGGGTCGGGGTGCTGGGGCTTCTCCCGCCCCACCCACCTGGCGCTTCTACCTGAGAGCGGGGTTGGGTGTGGGGGCTTGCTCTGCTGCCCCGCGGCTTCTGCCAGGGACGGGTGGGGTGGGGGCTGCTATGGGGGGGGCTCCCCCTACCCCGCGGTTTCTGCTGGGGACAGGTGGGGGCCACTGGGGGGGGGCTTCCCCCATCCTGTAGTTTGGGATGGAGTCCAGGCATGGGGTCTTCCCCCGCCGGTCCAGCCCTGCTGCTGGGGAGTGGGGTCGGGGCGCGGGGACTTCCCCCGCCCGGCCCTGCTGCTCAGTGGGGTTGAGGCAAGGGGGCAGTCACCTGCTTGGTAGCCAGGGCTTTGGGCTTCCGCCACCCTGGGCACGGGCCCTTTCTTCTCAGTGGCCAATCCACCACTGCCACCAACTGCAGTGAACTTTGGAACAGACCCTTAGAGGAGATTGTCCTGCTGAACAGATCATGCAAGTATATATATAAATAAATATCTCACTAAATACAGAAGGGAGCTTGCTGACAGAGAGGTCATCAGAGCCTTTATTTCTACTTCTATGACCACTGCAAACCTGAATCGAGACACTGTAAATCAGGGGTGGGCAAACTATGGCCCGCGGGCCAGATCCAGCCCACCAGCCATTTTAATTCGGCCCTCAAGCTCCTGCTGGGGAGTGGAGTCTGGGGCTTCTCCCACTCCGGTGCTCAGGCTGGGGAGCAGGGTTGGGGGCTGCTCCACGCGGTTCCCGGAAGCAGTGGCATGTCTCCCCTCTGGCTCCTACGTGTAGGGGCAGCCAGGGGGCTCCACACACTGCCCCGTCCCAAGTGCTGGCCCCGCAGCTCCCATTGGCCAGAAACTGTGGCCAATGGGAGCTGCAGAGGCGGCACCTGCGGACGGGGCAGCGCGCAGCAGGGCCACCATGGGGAGACATGCCGCTGCTTCCAGGAGCCGCTTGAGGTAAGCACCACCCAGAACTTGCATCCATGAGCCACCCCTTTGCGCCCCTGCCCCAGCCCTGATCCCCCTCTGAACCCCTCAGTCCCAGCCCAGAGCACCCTCCTGCACCCCAATCCCCTCAACCTCAGCCTCATTCCAGAGCCCGCACCCGAACCCCAATTTCATGAGCATTCATGGCCCACCGTACAATTTCTATACCCAGATGTGGCCCTCGGGCCAAAAAGTTTGCCCACTCATGCTGTAAATCCTCAAAACTGCATAGGAATTTTTGGTAGTGGTGATACCCCACGTAACGACTTTAGAGATCATGGTGTGACAGAAGATTTCAGGATGGAGACTTACAAAAAATAATTAAAACTTCCTCGCTGAATATCTCCATTAATCAGACTGCATTGGCTAGTCACTGGTATCTTTGCATCTAATTCAGTGATACAGTGCCGGCAGACTGCAAGGCTTACTATGTAATCCTTGTGTCTCCTTAATCCGCCATTTCTGGTGGCTAGTATCTCCCCTGCAGGAGCTGACTTCCTTTCAGGTGAGCTCAGGGATTTAGGTTGTCGTTCTGCCTGTGATCACCTTAGCAAGTCTGACTTGAGTCCAGCACCTGCAGACCTGTTCTCTGAGGGCAATGACTGTGTTAATCAGTGACTAGCCAGCCTCAATAAAGCACAGTAGTTGATCAGAACAAAAGCATTACAGAGAAAATATATGATAGAACAAATGGCTTACACACATGCTTACCAGGTAGTTACCACATAAGACCTTAGTAGGTTTCAAAGTACTAAGTTCAAACCTTTCTGCAGGATCTGTTCTTTGTCACATGTCCGTTCTTGGATGTAGTCAGAGTGACCCCTCAGGCTGGTCACATTATACAATTCTCATATCTTTGTTTGCTAGCTGCCTTTAATCAGTTAAACCAGGATATGCCATTCCCCAGGTGGGTGGGGTCTCTCTCGATTTGTTTCCCTGTCCAAGGATTTGCATTAATTACCCTCCAGTGATTTTAGTTCCTGTAGGAAAAACCAGCCCATACAGGTACGTATTTATAAAGCTAATACAGTCTTTGAGTATTCTGATTCTGTAGCTCGGTTCACAGGTTGATAGTTCACTCGTGCTTATGTGATGTCCCCCCACCCATTACTGCGTTGCTTGTCCTGTTTTAAAGAAGACATTAATCCCATTGTGCTGGCTGGTTACAATTCAAGGTCAGAGGGGAAACTGAGACATAAATATCTTTTCATTACAATAAATCAGAAGTTTCCCAGTTCCCCAGTGTCCACTAGATGTACTGAGTTCTATCTTGGGAAAGGAAGAGAGGAGGGACATGCCAAAAAAAATCCCTTAAAAGGGAATGAAACTCATTCATAATGCACCTTTCACAGCAGGGTCAAGGCGCTTAGTATCTGGAAACTAAGGATCACGCCGAAGTCATGTTCGGAACAGGGCCTGATCCTGCAAGCCCATTGATTAGAAAGAGGGAGTTCAGTAGCCAGCTGAGGGAGGGAGCTTCAAACCCATTCCCCGTATCTCCAATGTGTCTGTAGCCAACACTTTTCAGTACTTCTGAGCTGATGCTTTTCTTCCTCCAGAGTCTCCCTAACCAGAGGGTGGACATCATCTATGATTATGAGATCCTGCCAAACCGGAAGCCCAAGTTTCTGGCCCAGACAGCTGCCCATGTGGCTGGAGCAGCATATTACTACCAGAGGAAGGATGTGAGGTGTGATCCCTGGGGAGAAAAGGTGAGCTACAAACCATAGCCCAAGAGTCCCTCGGGAGCAACTGAATGTAAAAGTTTTGTTGGTTCGCTGATTCCTTCTTCGGGGAACTCTTGAGGTGTAAATGTGGCAGTTATTTGAAGTGTGTCTGCCAAGGAGGCGGGAATTCTTTGGAGTGGTACAATGGGCATAACTAGGTGAGGAGAGGAAAATGTAGGCTAAATAGGAGGGGAAATGTCCTGATCAATGAGATGTATTAACTTCTAAGGGAAGAGGTGGAAGACCAATTGCCTGGGACATCTAAAACTAGCCTAGACAAAAGCACAGGCAAATGTAGCATAGGGAAAACTCCTGGCTGAGGACAGGCAAAATGGGCTAGAGAACCAAACAGGCCTTTTCCATTTCTCTGGGCCAAATCCTGCAATCCCTCCTCAGGCAAAACTTGCACTGCGTTCAGGTTTTATTTTGGAAGTTTAACAAGAGCCTCCCGAGATCCCCCTTCCAGCACATCATATCTGGGGGTGTGAGGGAGAGGGGTGCATGTGCATGCAGGTGTGTGAACCAGATAAGGGGAATCTAATATAATAATGTTTCAGAGTCTAAGGTCAGGAGGGAATTCCTCATTCTTCTCAGACAGCACCGCATCACTTCGCCATGTGCATTAGAGGTTCTCTCAAAGGCCCAGAGACTAGGCACTGCTAGAGACAGGCCAACCCTTAGATCTAGAACAGCACGCCTCATACCAGTTCTCTTTCTTCTTTTCAGAAGATCTATGGCGTTTGTATCCATCCCCGGTATGGAGGCTGGTTTGCTATCCGAGGTCTCCTCATATTCCCAGATGTTCAGGTGCCATTCCTGGAGCAGGTTGCCCCTGTTGATTGTGTGGCCTCGGAGGAGAAGCGAATAGAGCTGCTGGAGAAATTCAATTTCCACTGGCGGGACTGGAGCTATAGGGACATCATTGAAGTGAAGGAACGGTACTCGGAGGAGCAGAAAGCCTACTTTGGAGCTCCTCCAGCAGAGAGATTCAAACTGCTAGAGGTGCAGGGAGTTGTCCAGAGAAGTGCGTACTGCTGAGTAACATGGTTCCGAGTGTGGGGCAGGGAATGAACAGAGTGCCCTCATTCTCCATAGCGGTTATGAAGGAGTGGCAGATCCCACATGAATCAGTACTGGGTTTACAATGGCACCATGGTGCTGGGCCCCCACTCAAAAGGTGCCCCAGCCTGGCACAGCCCGCTCCACTTTTGCTGCGCCTGGAGCACCTGGTTTCTCTCTCCCTCCTCCCCCCACCGCTCGCTCCTCTCGGCCCACTGAGGGGTCCTCTCTGCCCCCGTCACCAGCAGGCTGCTGCCGGCAGAGCCAGGGGCAGAGAGGAGCCCTCAGCTGCTGCCGCTCCAGCTGGGCCAGTGACCATCCACTTTGGGCTCCCCGGGAGCGGGGCCTGCCTCTCCCTGCCACTCTGCAGAAGCGACCGTCTTGGGAAGTTGGAGGCTGCCTCGCCCCCCGACCCATGCAAGGAAATGCCTCCTCAACCACAAGCACCATCAGTGCAAGGTGGGTAGGGCTGGGTGGGGCCCTGGGGGACAGGGGACGCTCTGTGCTCCTGAGCTTCAGTGGTCCTGCCCCCTTGCACTGTGCTGGGAGGGGAGGATCCCTGCTCTGCACTGGCTCAGCAGGGTCTTGGGGGCAGGGAGTGGGTCTGCGGGGGGGATACTGGGATGTGAGGGGGTGGGAGGTGCTGGGCAGTGGGGGAGATTTTTGTATTTTGGGGTGCTAGGCAGTGGGGGTCTGTTGAGGGTGTGTTGTGGTGGTAGGGCTGTGGGGAAGGGTACTGAGCAGTGGGAGTGACGTGTGTTGGGGTGCTGGGCAGTGGGCGGTCTGTGTGGGGTACTCGGCAGTTGTGGTGGGGCTGAGGGCAGGGGGTGCTGGGCAGAGGTGGTGTTTGGGGTACTGTGCATTTGTGGGGGGCGGGTGCTGGGCATAGTGGGTCCAGGGCATAGTGGGTCCAGGCGGTGCTGGGGGAGGGGGGCTGCATGGCACTGCATGGACCCACCCCCATGGGGAAGGGGCACGCTGGCAGCACAGGGCTGGGTGGGCCTGTGTGCGTCTGGCAACGGCCAGTTTGTAAACCGGGCCCTTGCACTGTACGAAGCAGGGCTGCCCCTGGTGTGCCATGCCCCATTGCCCCTGGCCAGCCCCTTGCTCCGAGGACTGACCTCCCTGTGCCATGCCCCATTGCCCCTGGCCAGCCCCTTGCTCCGAGGACTGACCTCCCTGTGCCATGTTCCATTGCCCACATAGGGGCCCACAAATGTTTGGAACCGGGCCCGCAAAAAGTTAATCCGGCCCAAATGCTCCATCTCAATTTAGAAGCCTGCCCCACCTTGTAGAGGAAGGTGGCTGCAGTCTGCTCCATGTTAGAGCTAATTAGGAATGGATTCCTCTGGCTCCTGGTAAGTTACCATTTGCCGTTCAGTTGGGCAAAGTTCGGGTGCCCATGAGGCTGGGAAATCCAGGCTGCTCTTTAGAAACACTGATTATTTGTGTTCTAATAGGACTTATTTTTTAAAAAGCCTAGTTGTTATTTTTATTCTATTTAATAATAAGGATTTACTGAATTGTCTGCAACTGAATTGTGAAATCACTTGCCTCTTTGTATGACCTCAGAGGGGAGATTTTTCAAACATATCTAGCACCTTTTATTCTGTGATACAATCTCTCAGGGGAGTGAATGTTTTAAAGGACACTGTCACTTTCAAATCTAGTCTTTTTCACTCAGACTAGGAAAAGGAGCTGGTTTAACTTGATTGAAAACCCCTCTTACTACCACCACCCCCACCCCAAAATCACAAACAGACAAAACACTTAACACTGATGTGGACACAGTTCACACATTTAGTTCAATTTTAGGATCCTGCTTCAGCTGTAACTTCACATGTTTAAATGATGCGAAAGCAGTTGCACTGTGTCTATGCAGGTGCAGAGTGGGCTTTTAAATCAAGATCAAGTTAAGCTAGCTCGGTTAGCAGAAAAAAACAACGTTTTTTCTTCTGGTCTTAGACAAGACCTGAGTTGAAGCTTTTCAAGTACTTCACTTGCCACAGCCACATTTTGTGTGTGTGTGTGTGTGTGCGCGGGGCGGGGGGGGAACTCAATACAAAAATGGAAAAGCTTCCTAATTGAATGAGTAGGGCAGTGTTTCTCAAACTGGGGCCGCCGCTTGTGTAGGGAAAGCCTCTGGCGGGCCGGGCCGGTTTGTTTACCTGTCCTGTCCGCAGGTCCGGCTGATCGCGGCTCCCACTGGCCGCAGTTCGCTGCTCCAGGCCAATGGGAGCCGCTGGAAGCGGCGCCGGCTAAGGGACGTACTGGCCGCCGCTTCCAGCAGCTCCCATTGGCCTGCAGCGGCGAACCACAGCCAGTGGGAGCCGCGATCGGCCCGGCCCACCAGGGGCTTACCCTACACAAGCGGCGGCCCCAGTTTGAGAAACACTGGAGCAGAGGTATCCGGAAAGCTGACCATACGTGAAATGCTGCCAAATGTAGAGTAAATAGGCTGAAAAAAGAGAGAGACTTTGATTTGTCTCTGATCTGTCTGTTACAGTGATCAGAGGTGTTACTTACATCACTGGGTAAGATATTTTCAGATGGACTGTGTCTTTTTACATTCACTGAGCTCAAAGGAGCACGGGAAGTCAGGGATTAATTTATTTAGAAGCCGTTTGTGAGGCCAGAACCTTGTATGTTGAGCTGACAATGAATGGTGCTATTTGAAAGGCTGCTTACTTCTTGGGCTCAATCCTGCAAGGTGCTGAGCTCCTTCTCTTTTTCTTGACATCAGCAGGAACGTGGAGGGTGCCCTGCATGTTGCTGGTAATTTGTGCTACGGTTCTGCATTGTCTGGTACCCAGACCCTAAGCTGTCCTTCAGTAGAAGACTTTGCCATAGGTCAAAATGAGTTTTGCTCTAAAGAGAGCAGTCAGTTTGCTCACCAGCTGGGTTGCTTGGTTCAAAAAGTCCTCTGTCTTTGCGGCTCATCCTGCTTGTGTGTTACTCTTCTTCCTGAGACCCTCCCGCCCAGGTCATGCACAGCTGATATTAATGTGCTCAGCCTAGGTCCTTTCACAGCAGGGCTACAAGCTTCAGTGCCTTTCTGCCCTTCTTCACACAGCCTAGGAGAGTTGGAGCGTTCCAGTTCCCAATAGCGTCTGCTTCATAAATCACTTTCGTTCAGTCACTGTGAGCTCTACCTACACCAGTGCACCTAATGCCACCCTATAGCAAACCAAACCCTCGCTCACATTGGAGGTGAAGGTGTGTCCATGGCATAGACGTCATGAGGAGCCCTACCAATTTCAGGGCCCAGATTGAACAGCCCAAGTGGGCAAAGTATGGGGCTGGCAGACAGGGACTCCCAAGTTCTAACCATAGCTCTGCCATCAGCTCTCTTGCACACCTTCAGACAGGTCACTTTACCTGCCTCTGTACCTGACTTCCCCAGCTGTAAATTTGGGAAATATCCCAGGCTCTTCCAAAGGGGAGCGATAATCTTTGCCACTAGTTTTTGAAATGATACTAACCTTATTACAAGGTAACATTTGACACAGTAATATACTGTGGCATATAGCTTAGCAGTGACCTTAAGTGGATACTGTTATGATCATTTGCTTTATGGGCTTTTATTACAACACTAATTTCTATGAAGTTTATAGGCAAGATTGGAATTGCAGATAACAAGTTCTTAGTCAGTTTTTTGCATACGTGGTTTAGTCCGAGATTGCGTAAACTATCGTTTGCCTTGGACCCTTCATTACTTTAGCTTTCTACAAGAAAAACAGACAGGTCTGGTGGCTGTAGTTGATTGTTACAAAGTAATTATGAATATACTTCCTGGTGAGCTTCAAGAGACACTAGAAGCAACTTGGAATCATTCCGCATATTTGGAGTTATTGTTACATTAATATATTTGCATATGTCAGAGCAATTTGGCTATGACTAATCGTTGTGTGGTTGTGGGATTATGAGTATTTAAATTCTAAATTTCTGACTTCAAAATTACTTCTGGTTGAACTGTTACAAATGGTCCTTCTATTTGTGGATTGGGATACAACTGCCTTGGAATATAATAATGGCTCATATTAAAGGAACCACATTAGTATGCAGACACCCTCCCAGAATAATATGGAAAGGAATTAGATACATTTACCACTTGTGATCAGACTTTGGTTTATTGTTTGAGTTGTTATCCGTTTGCCCATGTTGAACTCTTTGTGTTGAAATTAATTCAATAAATAGTAATGCTGTCATATGCATCAGTATTTTACTTTTCTACCTTATTTACCTCTATTTTATTTTGGTTAATGAAACTTAGAAATATCTAAATAGTCCTGAGTACTGACTGTACTTTTGCATAAGCAACATGATACTCAGTGAATTTGTTGGGGAGCTTGAGATGCTTAACCAAGAACTGACCATTGTGTTTTTAACACTGAAAATATTTACACCCCTGAGACATAGAAGCAAACAGTTTCCGAATGTGAGAGAAAAGTAGGAGTTGGGATGCAGGCAAGGTATGACAACAGGCACAGTCAGAAGTTTAAAAAAAAAAAAAAAACAGTTTGCTCACGAGTATATTGAGGCAGAGTGGCCTCCCTCTGAACCCAAGGGAGCGCCACACTCCCCTGGTGGGCGGAGCCAGCCCAGCCCCACCTCCCATCAGAAGCAAAGGGGTGTGACAGGAAGTATAAAAGGCAGGTCCTGCAGCTCAGTTGGGCTGGAGCTGCGGGAGGAGACAAACACCTCCTGCCCACTGCTGAGGTTGGAGCCTCAGGAGGACCCCTGCTGCGTTGAGGACCTACCTGAGCTGCCAGGTGACCAGGGCACCGAAGAGCTCTCAGGACTGCCAATAGCAGAGTACCCCATGGAGATGGAAGATGACCCCAAGCCACGGGTACACCACAAGGGATGAGTAGGAAGGTGCCCTGGGACACTAGACTGTAATTTTGTTGTGTTGTTGTCTGAACCCCGATCGGTGTGTTTTGGGTGGATCCCCACTGATCCAGTGGGGCGGAACACACCATCACTGTTAGGGTCCTGGGCTGGGACCTGGTGGAGTAGGGTGTGTTGTCAGACGCTACCGGTGTGGTGCTCTGCTCTGTTCAATGTTGATATCAATCGGCTGCGTGCATGTGTTCCCTCTGTGTACTGTCCCAGCTCTGCGCAGATAGCTGACACAGCAGACCCCAAGAGAAACCCCAATAATCGCAGACTCTTGTAAGGTACGAAGGCACGTCGGCCAGGTTTATTGTCGAAGAGAAACACAGTCTCCAGCTCCCCGGCATAGAAGTCCAAGGTGCTGCTGTGGTGCGGCTAGCTAGTACTTATGTGCTCCCTGACAATGGACTCAGCTCAGTCAGTGGCGGGACTTTCCACTGCCCCCTAGGCCGGACCAAGACACCACTCCAGGGATGCATTCTTATACACAGGTACAAACAAGTTACACATCACTCCTGACGTACTGAGGTGCAACCCCTCTACGTAGCAAGGGACAACCCCATTAGGTAGCAAGGTGCCGCCTCTCACCTTGTACATGTTGGTTCAAACAAAACAACTCTATCCATCATATTACCTTTTGGCCTTGTCATTGGGATGGGTCAGCTTGTTCCTTGTTATCTGTGTGGAGTGTACAAGTATGCGAATGTTCTGATATCTGGTGTCCAGTACCTTTTAGGTATGTCTCTTTTTGCAGCATCAGCCCTTTCCTTGCCAGCTTCTGTGAGCAGGGCCTGCCTCTGGCTCACAGCTTAACTTTGCTTTATATTAGCAAAGTCTTGACCATTACTTTAGTTCAGGCCTCATACTGGGCCTCTGATAAGGGTTTATGTTTCAGGGCCTCCTCTTACTACAGGGTGGACCCAGGTCCCCCTACCCCTGTGGCCGCTCAACCCCTGGGGTGGCTACCTCCCCCCACCTTAGGCCAAGAGGCCTGCGTTTGTCTGCCATCTGCCTGATTTAAGATGACAGGCAAGAGACTGTTTGGTGCTCCACCCTGCCTGAGGACCTGAGCCCTGTGGACTGTTTGTTTGCTGGCTGCCTTAGCCGGGAGGCCTAGGCAAAAGCCTGTTCCGCGCTCTGCCCGCCAGAGGGCCAGAGCCGTACACTGTTTGCCAGATGCAGCGACACAGAGTGGCCTCCCTCTGAACTTGCGCCTGAGGGACCACTACAAGGGGTAAATCTACTTTATTTGTGAGTATCTTACCAGATCACTTGTATAACAAGAAACTAAAATGTCAGTGCGTACCACAGGAAGATTTAATTTTTTTAGATATTGTAATAATGTAGAGTTAATAATAATCCATGAAAGCCTCTAGAACCCAGCAATATATCATTGATAGTTGGTAACTTTTCTTCAGTAGTTCAGCTGTAATGCTGGAGTCCTGCAAATCTGATCAATAATTATTGGAATTCTAATTTGCTAAAGCTATTCCTGTTCATCTTTGTTATATCTGTCCTGATGCTTTGATTACTGCGTAGGAATAAATCCTTAGAAGTGCTGAGCACCTAGAACTCCCTTTGATTTAAGTAGGATTGGTAAATGCTCTCCATCTTTCAGGAATTGTCCCTTCAATGTTCTAGCATATCAAAAACCTGACTAGGAGAGCTGCATCAGAGTGCATGCTCCTTGTGCTTGTGGCACTCATCCAATTCCATGAAGCTCTAGAGGAGACTGACACAGCTCTCTAATCATGAATTACTCAGTCCAACTCTGGTTGACTTCAAAGGGAATTGGATTGTATCTTTTATGTCCTTTAATAACCAACTTATGCAGCATCACTGTTGCAGGTGGTCACTTTCCCTTCCTGCTAGATGGAGGTACAACACCAAGACAGTCTTACAGAAGTAAATAAAAGTTCAATATATCTAGGGGATTAAAGGGAACCCCACTGTGAAACTTTTAAGATCTGTAGGGCGGAGTCTGACCTGTTGGGACAATGTGAGGAATGAATCATTCTTGGATTCTGGGACACCACCATGAAAATGTATTTAGCTGATTTCAAATGTCAAATTAATGGAAGCACTTAAAATTCAGTAATGAAAAACACCAAGCCTAGCTGTTCAGTCACTGTATTTTGTGGACAAATTTATTTTTTCATAACACCTTTTATTTATAAAATGTTCAATACAATAAGTTACTTTTCCCCTTTAAAAACAGTCTGAGTATATTAGAATTGAAGACTTAAAAGATTTAAAAACAGCTGCTTGAACTAAATTCCTTCTTCAGTTTGAAAATAAAAATCTCTTCAGTATATTTCAAGCAACCAAAATACTTCTTGTGGGCTTAACTGAATTTGAAGTACTTGCACATGCATAAATTCCTTATTTATTCTTCTTTGATATCTTCCTCTTTTTTGTAGCTTCATCCTTGACCTTAAAGGAAAAAATGCAGGTTTTTATAAAAGGATTGAATAAATGGTGGCAACTATTGATTAGACAGGTGCCTGTTATAAGATGAACACCAAGAAATATGGAAGAACATAACTGAGGGCCTAATCTTTCGCCCACTGAAGTCAACCAGAGTTTTGCCACTGACTTCAGTTGTGGAAGAGTAGGCACTTATTTTATGGATATAGACCAGGGGGCTGGAGATTTCCAGGAGGACTCCCTATTCTCCACTTCCTTACTCCTCCTTGTTGCAGCAACCCTCCCTCTGAGTGAAAATGGCTGTATACCATCAGTGCCACTGTGTGTGTCAGCCAAAAGTGTTCACTTGAGGCAATCGCTGCCGGTAGGGGCTGAGCACTCTTTCTACAGTGCTGGACCAAGGGATTGTGGGACCAGAGTCTGGATCCATATGGTAGTTTGACTGGCTTGTCGCCCTTTGTCAGAAGCATAATTTTTATTGTTTACAATATTGTATAAGTGAACTCCTTATTATGGTGGCCAGAAACTGTGGTGGCGATTAAACATGGGCTAAATCCTGGAAAATGTTCACTGACTTCAAAGGGAGTTTGAGCAAACATTGAGTGAGGACTTCTGTGTTTGGCTGTTAACAGATTTCACGGCACTTATGAGTACTTTATTTGTCCTGCCCCATGCAAAGAGTAGCATTAAGAATAATGAGACTGACAGCTGACCTTACAGACTATGGTTCCAAGTCTGCTTCCTTTTATATCAAAGGGAGTTCTGCCATTAACTCCAGTGAAAGCAGCCTTAATCCTGCAACCTTTACTCTCTCTCAAATACTCCTGCTGAAGTCATAGTGAGTTCTTACATGATTGAGTTTTGCAGGAGCCAGTCCTGAAATTTTACAGTATGAAGAAATTTTCCATATATATTTAAAATAACAACCCAAGAGAATAGATATGCTTTTAGCACAACATGGCAGGAGTGAGTGTTTTTTCCATGTGGGAGACCCAAATACAGGAGGGGGCAGCAGGAATGCAGCTTTGCCCAGCAGCGAAGCTTGCATACATCACAGAGAGAGAGAGGTTCCAGAAGGGCATGGAGTTTACTGCTACATGGGAACAGCAGAAAACACTCTTTAGGAGATTTGGTAAGTACATTGATTTCAATTGTCTTCAATTTTACCACCTTATCCTAACTTGCTTAAATTCAAAAAGCATGTATTCATTTGAAAGATTTATGATTTATAGAAGTAATTTTTCAAAGGCACAGAAGTTACATGCAAAAATCATGTAATTTCTTAATGGTAATTTTGTGTACAACTTCCATGCTCAGTTGTTAAAGTGGTTCCTTCATGAAATCTTTAAGAAACATCTGTGGAGACCAGCATAATCTATTTCCATTCACAGCGTTGTGATTTTTGACTGGGGATGGAGCCATGCCTGGAAAAGCTTGGGAATTTCAATCCAGTCTGAGGGAAAATCCCCTCTGATTGGCTGCCTTGTCCACTTTTCAGCCTCTGGGGAAGAGCCTCCAATCAGAACAATTACAAGAAGCAACCAAGAACTTTTTGAGGAGTGGAGAGGGAGCTGACAACACCACTCTTATAGGAGGGAGTGCGGAGCAGACAGACCCCAGCAACTCAGGGAGGCCTGGCTCTCTGGGCCTCCTTCCATGCTGTGAACAATAGATCAGTCTGTTCTCTGCTCTACCCCCTCCTCTCTTCATCCCTGCCACACCAAGCTTGAGAAGGGGATGAAGAGTCTCTGGAGCCCCTTGTGGGTGGACAGGCTGTGTTCAAAAATCAAAAGGCAGTCAAAAACCACAACATAACCTTTTTCTAAATGTCCTTATTTTGGGGATGATCTTGTGATTTTTTTTGGTGTCTGACCCATGATTTTTGAACTTGTGGGAGAGGCAGTACTGCATACAGGACATTTGGAACTGAAAGTGACAACACAAACTTTACTACAAAAGCTAACATAGTCTTAGGGTTAGATCCTTGCTCCCACTCCAGCCCCTTTACACTGAGAAAAAGGGCCAGGGTGGCATAAAGGGCTCTAAAAGCCTTGGATCCAGCGGAGGGAAGATTGCCCAAGTACTGGAACTGTGG